GGAAATTAATAAATTAAGAAGAAATTAATAAATTAAGAAGGAATTCATAAATTAATAATCCATTAATAAATTAATAATAGATTGATAAATTAATAAGAAATTAATAAATTAATAATAAATTAATAAATTAATAATCGATTAATAAATTAAGAAGAAAGTAATAAATTAAGAAGAAATTATTAAATTAATAATAGATTAAAATCAAATCAAATAAATAATAAAAATAAAATGAATACTAAATTAATAATAATAAATTAATAATAATAAATAATGATAAATTAATCAATTCATGAAGTTATAATTAATAATTAATAATAGATTAATAAATTAATAATACATTAATAATACATTAATAATAAATTAAAATAAAATAAAGTATTAAAATATAATAAAATAATAATAAATTAATAATAATAAAAATAAAATAAATAATAAATTAATAAATTAGTAATCAGTTATTAATAAATTTAAAAAATAAATAATAAAAAATGAAATAAATAATACATTAATAAATTAAGAAGAAATTAAAATAGAATAAAGTAAATAATTAAAAATAAAATGAGTAAGAAATTAATAAATTAAGAAGAAATTAATAAATTAAGAATAGATTAAAATCAAATCAAATAAATAATAAAAATAAAATGAATAATAAATTAATAAATTCATAAGAAATTAAAATAGAATAAAAGAAATAATATAAAATAAAATGAATCATAAATTAATAAATTAATAAGAAATTAGAATAAAGTAAATAATTAAAAATAAAATGAATAATAAATTAATACATTAAGAAGAAATTAATAAATTAAGAATAGATTAAAATGAAATCAAATAAATCATATAAAATAAAATTAAAATAAATTAATAATTCAATTCACCAATCGATCAATAAATAAATGAAGAAATCAACGAAATAAATGAATAAAATGATGAATTAATGAATCAATTAATGACTTAATGAGCCCAGACTCTCACCCAGCACTCTGATCCTGGCGGTGGCCGAGTCATTGACGGCTCCAGCTCGGAGGTGGCAGCCGTAGGAGCCTTCATCGACAGCGCTGATGTTGGAAATCAGCAGGTGGGAACCGCCCAACAGTCGGAATTTACCCCAGCTGGGAAGGGAAAAAATGGGAATTTTCTTGGGAATTCGGGGAATTTTTTCCCAAGGAATTCTTGGAATTTCAAGTTGGGATTTTTTGGGAAATTCTGGAATTTTTTCCCAAGGAATTCTTGGAATTTACCCCAGTTTGGAGGGGAAAAATGGGAATTTTTTAAGGAATTTTTGGAATTTTAGCCTGGAATTAGCTCTGAAATCTGGGAATTTTTAAGGTGGAATTCTTAGAATTTACCCCAGTTTGGAGGGGCAAAAATGGGAATTTTTTAAGGTGGAATTCTTGGAATTCCAAGCTGGGATTTTCGCAGAAATTCTGGGAATTTTTTAAGGTGGAATTCTTGGAATTTACACCAATTTGGAGGGGAAAAATGGGAATATTTTAAGGTGGAATTCTTGGAATTTCAAGCTGGGATTTTTGGGGAAATTCTGGAATTTTTCCCCAAGGAATTCTTGGAATTTACCCCAATTAGGAGGGAAAAAATGGGAATTTTTTAAGGAATTTCTGGAATTTCAGCCTGGAATTGGCTCTCAAATCCTGGAATTTTTTCCCAAGGAATTCTTGGAATTTCAAGTTGGAATTTTCCCAAAAATCTGGGAATTTTTTGAGGAATTTTTGGAATTTCAAGCTGGGATTTTCCCAAAAATCTGGGAAATTTTTAAGGAATTTTTGGAATTTCAAGCTGGAATTTTCTTGGAAATTCTGGGAATTTTTTAAGGTGGAATTCTTGGAATTTGAAATTGGAGTTTTCACAGAAATCTGGGAATTTTTTAAGGTGGAATTCTTGGAATTTACACCAGTTTGGAGGGGAAAAATGGGAATTTTTTAAGGTGGAATTCTTGGAATTTCAGCCTGGAATTGGCTCTAAAATCCTGGAATTTTTAAAGGTGGAATTCTTGGAATTTACCCCAATTAGGAGGGAAAAAATGGGAATTTTTTAAGGTGGAATTCTTGGAATTCCAAGTTGGGATTTTCTTGGAAATCTGGGAATTTTTTAAGCCTGGAATTGGCTCTGAAATCTGGGAATTTTTTAAGATGGAATTCTTGGAATTTACCCCAGCTGGGAAGAGAAAAATTGGGAATTTTCTTGGGAATTCGGGGAATTTTTTAAGGTGGAATTCTTGGAATTTCGAGTTGGGGTTTTCAAAAAAATCTGGGAATTTTTTAAGGTGGAATTCTTGGAATTTACCCCAATTAGGAGGGAAAAAATGGGAATTTTTTAAGGTGGAATTCTTGGAATTTCAGCCTGGAATTGGCTCTGAAATCTGGGAATTTTTAAGGTGGAATTCTTGGAATTTACCCCAGTTTGGAGGGGCAAAAATGGGAATTTTTTAAGGTGGAATTCTTGGAATTTCAAGCTGGAATTTTCTCAAAAATCCAGGAATTTTTTTCCCAAGGAATTCTCATGAAATGGAAAATTTATCCTGGAATTCCAGCCTGGAATTTTCTCTGAAATCTGGGAATTTTTTAAGGTGGAATTCTTGGAATTTACCCCAACTGGGAAGGGAAAAAATGGGAATTTTTAAAGATGGAATTCTTGGAATTTCAAGCTGGGATTTTTGGGGAAATTCTGGAATTTTTTCCCAAGGAATTCTTGGAATTTACCCCAATTAGGAGGGGAAAAATGGGAATTTTTTAAGGAATTTTTGGAATTTCAAGTTGGGATTTTCGTGGAAATCCAGGATTTTTTTAAGGAATTCTTGGAATTTTAGCCAGGAATTTTCCCAAAAATCTGGGAATTTTTTAAGGTGGAATTCTTGGAATTTACCCCAGTTTGGAGGGGAAAAATGAATTTTAAGGAATTTTTGGAATTTTAGCCTGGAATTTTTGCAGAAAAAATGGGAATTTTTTAAGATGGAATTCTTGGAATTCCAAGCTGGAATTTTCCTAGAAATCCAGGATTTTTTTCCCAAGGAATTCTCAATAAATGGAAAATTTATCCTGGAATTCCAGCCTGGAATTGGCTCTGAAATCTGGGAATTTTTTAAGGTGGAATTCTTGGAATTTCAAGTTGGGGTTTTCACAAAAATCTGGGAATTTTTTAAGGTGGAATTCTTGGAATTTACGCCAGTTTGGAGGGGAAAAATGGGAATTTTTTAAGGTGGAATTCTTGGAATTTCCAAGTTGGAGTTTTCACAAAAATCTGGGAATTTTTTAAGGTGGAATTCTTGGAATTTACCTCAGTTTGGAGGGAAAAAATGGGAATTTTTTAAGGAATTTTTGGAATTTCAAGTGGGATTTTTGGGGAAATTCTGGAATTTTTTAAGGAATTCTTGGAATTTCAATCTGGAGTTTTCAAAAAAATCTGGGAATTTTTTAAGGTGGAATTCTTGGAATTTCAAACTGGAATTTTCCCAAAAATCCTGGAATTTTTTCACGAGGAATTCTTGGAATTTCAAGTTGGAATTTTCTCAAAAATTCTGGGAATTTTTTGAGGAATTTTTGGAATTTCAAGCTGGAATTTTCGTGGAAATCCGGGAATTTTTTAAGGAATTTTTGGAATTTTAGCCTGGAATTTTTGTGGAAATTCAGGATTTTTTTAAGGAATTCTTGGAATTTCAAGCTGGGATTTTTGGGGAAATTCTGGAATTTTTCCCCAAGGAATTCTTGGAATTTACCCCAATTAGGAGGGAAAAAATGGGAATTTTTAAAGGAATTTTTGGAATTTTAGCCTGGAATTTTCGTGGAAATTCAGGATTTTTTTAAGGAATTTTTGGAATTTCAAGCTGGGATTTTTGTGGAAATTCAGGATTTTTTTAAGATGGAATTCTTGGAATTTACCCCAGTTTGGAGGGAAAAAATGGGAATTTTTTAAGGTAGAATTCTTGAAATTTACCCCAATTTGGAGGGGAAAAATGGGAATATTTTAAGGTGGAATTCTTGGAATTTCAAGCTGGGATTTTTGGGGAAATTCTGGAATTTTTCCCCAAGGAATTCTTGGAATTTACCCCAGTTTGGAGGGAAAAATGGGAATTTTTAAGGTGGAATTCTTGGAATTTCCAAGTTGGGGTTTTCACAAAAATCTGGGAATTTTTTAAGGTGGAATTCTTGGAATTTACCCCAGTTTGGAGGGGAAAAATGGGAATTTTTTAAGGAATTTTTGGAATTTTAGCCTGGAATTGGCTCAGAAATCTGGGAATTTTTTAAGGAATTTTTCGAATTCCAAGCTGGAATTTTGGTGGAAATTCAGGATTTTTTTAAGGAATTCTTGGAATTTCGAGTTGGGGTTTTTCACAAAAATCTGGGAATTTTTTAAGGTGGAATTCTTGGAATTTACACCAGTTTGGAGGGAAAAAATGGGAATTTTTAAAGGAATTTTTGGAATTCCAGCCTGGGATTTTCGTGGAAATTCAGGATTTTTGTAAGGAATTTTTGGAATTTCGAGTTGGGATTTTCTTGGAAATCTGGGAATTTTTTAAGCCTGGAATTGGCTCTGAAATCTGGGAATTTTTTAAGATGGAATTCTTGGAATTTACCCCAGTTTGGAGGGGAAAAATGGGAATTTTTTAAGGAATTTTTGGAATTTCAAGATGGGATTTTGGTGGAAATTCAGGATTTTTTTTAGGAATTCTTGGAATTTCAAGCTGGGATTTTCTTGCAAATCTGGGAATTTTTTAAGGAATTTTTGGAATTTCAAGCTGGAATTTTCCCAAAAATCCGGGAATTTTTTAAGGAATTCTTGGAATTCCAACCTGGAATTTTCCCAAAAATCCGGGAATTTTTTAAGGTGGAATTCTTGGAATTTCAAGCTGGGATTTTCCCAGAAATCCAGGATTTTTTTTCCCAAGGAATTCTCATTAAATGGAAAATTTATCCTGGAATTCCAGCCTGGAATTGGCTCTGAAATCTGGGAATTTTTTAAGATGGAATTCTTGGAATTCCAACCTGGAATTGGCTCTGAAATCTGGGAATTTTTTAAGATGGAATTCTTGGAATTTACCCCAATTTGGAGGGGAAAAATGGGAATATTTTAAGGTGGAATTCTTGGAATTCCAAGCTGGGATTTTTGGGGAAGTTCTGGAATTTTTTCCCAAGGAATTCTTGGAATTTACCCCAATTAGGAGGGGAAAAATGGGAATTTTTAAAGGAAGTTTTGGAATTTTAGCCTGGAATTTTGGTGGAAATTCAGGATTTTTTTAAGGAATTCTTGGAATTTCAGTCTGGAGTTTTCACAAAAATTCTGGGAATTTTTTAAGATGGAATTCTTGGAATTCCAAGCTGGAATTTTTTGGGAAATCTGGGGATTTTTTCCCAAGGAATTCTTGGAATTCCAAGCTGGGATTTTTGTGGAAATTCTGGGAAATTTTTAAGATGGAATTCTTGGAATTTCAAGCTGGAATTGGCTCTGAAATCCTGGAATTTTTTCCCAAGGAATTCTTGGAATTCCAAGTTGGAATTTTCCCAAAAATCCGGGATTTTTTTCCCAAGGAATTCTCATTAAATGGAAAATTTATCCTGGAATTCCAGCCTGGAATTGACTCTGAAATCTGGGAATTTTTAAAGATGGAATTCTTGGAATTTCAAGCTGGAATTTTCCCAAAAATCCGGGAATTTTTTAGGATGGAATTTCCAAGGATTTTCTGGGAATTTTCCAGGTTGAAATTCCAAGAATTCCTTGGAAAAAAATTCCAGGTTTTATCCCAATCCATAGAAAATTAATCCCACTGGGAATTCTAAGGAATTCCCAAGGATTTCTGGGAATTTTCCAGGCTGGAATTCCAGGATGAATTTTCTATTTCATGAGAATTCCTTGGGAAAAAAATTCCTGAATTTTTGGGAAAATTCCAGCTTGGAATTCCAGAAATTCTTTGGGAAAAAAATCCCGAATTTCCAAGAAAATTCCAGCTTGGAATTCCAAGAATTCCTTGGGAAAAAATTCCAGGATTTTTTTGAAAATTCCAGGCTGGAATTCCAGGAATTCCTTGGGAAAAAAATTCCCAGATTTCAGAGAAAATTCCAGCTTGGAATTCCAAGAATTCCTTAAAAAATTCCCAGATTTCTGCAAAAATTCCAGCCTGAAATTCCAAGAATTCCTTGGGAAAAAATTCCAGGATTTCTGGGAAAATTCCAGCTTGGAATTCCAAGAATTCCTTGGGAAAAAAATCCCGAATTTCCAAGAAAATTCCAGCTTTGAATTCCAAGAATTCCTTGGGAAAAAAATTCCCGGATTTATCCCAATCCATGGAAAAGAATTCCCAATTTAAGGATGGAATTCCCAAGGATTTTCTGGGAATTTTCCAGGCTGGAATTCCAGGATGAATTTTCCATCCCATGAGAATTCCTTGGGAAAAAAATTCCCGGATTTCAGAGAAAATTCCAGCTTGGAATTCCAAGAATTCCTTGGGAAAAAAATCCAGGATTTCTGAGAAAATTCCAGCTTGGAATTCCAGGAATTCCTTGGGAAAAAATTCCCAGATTTCCAAGAAAATCCCAACTTGGAATTCCAGGAATTCCTTGGGAAAAAATCCAGGATTTTTGGGAAAATTCCAGCTTGGAATTCCCAGTTTAATGAGAATTCCTTGGGAAAAAATTCCAGGATTTCTGGGGAAATTCCAGGCTGGAATTCCAAGAATTCCTTGGAAAGAAATTCCAGGTTTATCCCATTGGATGGGAATGATTCCAATGGGATTTTAGGGATGGAATTCCCAAGGATTTTCTGGGAATTTTCCAGGCTGGAATTCCAGGATGAGTCGTCCAATCCAATGGGATAAACTTGGAATTTTTTCCCAAGGAATTCCTGGAATTCCAAGCTGGAAAATTCCCAGAAAATCCTTGGGAATTCCATCCTTAAATTGGGAATTCTTTTCCATGGATTGGGATAAATCCTGGAATTTTTCCCCAAGGAATTCTTGGAATTCCAAGCTGGAATTTTCTCAGAAATCCTGGGAATTTTTTCCCAAGGAATTCTCATTAAACTGGGAATTCCAACCTGGAATATTCCCAGAAATCTTTGGGAATTCCTTCCCTAAATTCCCATTGGGAATTCTTTTCCATGGATTGGGATAAAACCTGGAATTTCTTCCCAAGGAATTCCTGGAATTCCAGCCTGGAAAATTCCCATTGGATGGGAATTATTCCAATGGGATTTTAGGGAAGGAATTCCCAAGGATTTTCTGGGAATTTTCCAGGCTGGAATTCCAGGATGAGTCATGCAATCCAATGGGATAAACCTGGAATTTCTTCCCAAGGAATTCTTGGAATTTCAAGCTGGAAAATTCCCAGAAAATCCTTGGGAATTCCATCCCTAAATTCCCATTGGAATCATTCCCATACAGAGGGAAAAACCTGGAATTTCTTCCCAAGGAATTCCTGGATCCAAGGGGATTTTAGGGAAGGAATTCCCAAGGATTTTTGGGAATATTTCAGCCTGGAATTCCAGGAATTCCTTGGGAAAAAATTCCAGTTTTATCCCAACCCATAAAAAATAGGAAAACACTGGGAATTCTAAGGAATTCCCAAGGATTTCTGGGAATTTTCCAGGCTGAAATTCCAAGTGGAACTTTAATAAAACCCCAATTCCCGGGTTTTTTTGGGAAAACTGGGAATACCTGCTGGGAATCTCTCGGTTTTCCCGGCTCCAGGTGATGATGGGAGGAGGAAATCCCGAAGCAGAACATTCCAGAACCACATTCCCACCTTCCAGCACGTCCTGATCCCGAGGTTTTTGGAGGAAAAGGGGAGGGCGAGGAATTCCGGGATCTGGGGGAGAGAGGGAGAGAAATTCCAGGTGAAATTCCGTGAAATCCTGGTAAAATTCCAGGAAAATTCCATGGAATTCTGATAAAATTCTATGGAATTCTGATAAAATTCCATGAATTTCTGGTGAAATTCCATGAAATTCTGATAAAATTCCATGGAAGTCCTGTAAAATTCTATGGAATTTTGGTAAAATTCCAGTAAAATTCCATGAGATTCTGGTAAAATTCCATTGAATTCTGGTAAAATTCCATGAAATTCTGAGTAAAATTCCATGAAATTCCAGTAAAATTCCATGAGATTCTGGTAAAATTCCATGAAATTTTGGTAAAATTCCATGAAATTCCAGTGAAATTCCATGAAATTCTGGTGGAATTCCATGGAATTCTGGTAAAATTCCTTGAAATCCCAGTAAAATTCCATGGAATTGTGGTAAAATTCCATTAAATCCTGATAAAACTCCATGGAATTCCAGGAAAATTCCTTGAAATTCTGGTAAAATTCCATTAAATTCTGTAGAAATTCCTAGAAATTCTGATGAAATTCCATGGAATTCTGGTAAAATTCCTTGAAATTTTGGTAAAAATTCCTTGAAATTCTGGTGAAATTCCATGAAATTCTGGTAAAATTCCATGGAATTCTGGTAAAATTCCATGGAATTCTGGTGAAATTCCATAAAATTCCATGAAATTCTGCTAAAAATCCATGAAATTCCCAGGGAAATTCCATGGGATTCTGGTGAAATTCCTTGAAATTCTGGTAAAATTCCAGTAAAATTCCATGGAATTCCAGTAAAATTCCATGGAATCCTGGTAGAATTCCATGAGATTCTGATAAAATTCCATGGGATTCCAGTAAAAATCCATGGAATTTTGGTAAAATTCCAGTAAAATTCCATGGAATTATGATAAAATTCCATGGAATTCTGGTAAAATTCCATGAAATTCCAGTAAAATTCCATGGAATTCTGGTGAAATTCCATGGAATTCCCAGTAAAATTCCATGAGATTCTTGATAAAATTCCATTAAATTCTTGATAAAATCCCATGGAATTCTGATAAAATCCCATTAAATTCTTGATAAAATTCCATTAAATCCCAATAAAATCCCAATAATTCCCTGTAAATCCCAATAAAACCCCATTAAATCCCAATAAAACCCCCTGTAAATCCCAATAAATCCCCTGTAAATCCCAATAAAACCCCATTAAAACTCCATTAAATCCCAATGAAATCCCTATAAAACCCCTGTAAATTGCAATAATTCCATTAAAATCTCTATAAAATCCCTGTAAATTGCAATAAAATCCCTGTAAATTGCAATAAATCCCTATAAAACCCCTGTAAATTGCAATAAATCCCACTAAAACCCCTGTAAATTGCAATAAATCCCAATAAAATCCCCTGTAAATTGCAATAAAATCCCACTAAAATCCCCTGTAAATTGCAATAAATCCCTATAAAATCCCTGTAAATTGCAATAATTCCCTATAAAACCCCTGTAAATTGCAATAAAACCCCTGTAAATTGCAATAAATCCCTATAAAACCCCTGTAAATTGCAATAAATCCCTATAAAACCCCTGTAAATTGCAATAATTCCCTATAAAACCCCTGTAAATTGCAATAAAACCCCTGTAAATTGCAATAATTTACTATAAAACCCCTGTAAATTGCAATAAATCCCTGTAAATTGCAATAAATCCCTATAAAACCCCTGTAAATTGCAATAAAACCCCTGTAAATTGCAATCAATCCCTATAAAATCCCTGTAAATTGCAATAAAATCCCTGTAAATTGCAATAAATCCCAATAAAACCCCTGTAAATTGCAATAAATCCCTATAAAACCCCTGTAAATTGCAATAAATCCCTATAAAACCCCTGTAAATTGCAATAAATCCCTATAAAACCCTGTAAATTGCAATAAAATCCCTGTAAATTGCAATAAATCCCTATAAAACCCCTGTAAATTGCAATAAATCCCTATAAAACCCCTGTAAATTGCAATAAATCCCTATAAAATCCCTGTAAATTGCAATAAATCCCTATAAAACCCCTGTAAATTGCAATAATTCCCTATAAAATCCTTGTAAATTGCAATAATTCTCTCAAAATCCCAATAAAACCCCTGTAAATTGCAATAAATCCCTATAAAATCCCTGTAAATTGCAATAAATCCCAATAAAATCCCTGTAAATTGCAATAAATCCCACTAAAACCCCTGTAAATTGCAATAAATCCCACTAAAACCCCTGTAAATTGCAATAAATCCTATAAAACCCTGTAAATTGCAATAAATCCCTATAAAATCCCCTGTAAATTGCAATAAATCCCTATAAAACCCCTGTAAATTGCAATAAATCCCTATAAAACCCCTGTAAATTGCAATAAATCCCTATAAAATGCCTCAAACCCTGTAAATTGCACTATAAAACCCCTGTAAATTGCAATAAAATCCCAATAAAACCCCTGTAAATTGCAATAAATCCCTATAAAACCCCTGTAAATTGCACTAATTCCATTAAAATTCCCCCAATTCCCAACTCACTTTCCACCACCCTCAACCTGACATCGCTCCCAAGCCGGAACCCTCCGGCATTGCTGAGGAGACACCGGTAAATTCCTTCATCTTCCACTCCAATCTTGCCAATCTGCAGCGTTCCCGAGGGCAGCAGGAGCAGCCGGGAATCCCCCCGGGAATGCCCAGAATTCCAGCGGATTCCCAAGGAAATGCCAGGGGATTCTGGGAAAATTCCTTTAAATTCTGATAAAATTCCATGGAATTCTGGGAAAATTCCTTGAAATCCCAATAAAATTCCATGGAATTCGGATAAAATTCCAGGAAATTCTGGTAAAATTCCAGGAAAATTCCATGGAATTCTGGTGAAAATTCCTTGAAATTCTGGGAAAATTCCATGGAATTCTGGTAAAATCCCATGGAATTCTGATAAAATCCCATTAAATTCTTGATAAAATTCCATTAAATTCCTGATAAAATTCCATTAAATCCCAATAAAACCCCATTAAATCCCAATAAAATCCTAATAAAACCCCATTAAATCCCAATAAAACTCCAATAAAATCCCATTAAAACCCCTGTAAATCCCAATAAAATCCCAAAAACTCCCTGTAAATCCCAATAAAATCCCCCTCTAAATCCCAATAAATCCCAATAAAACCCCTGTAAATTGCAATAATTCCATGTAAATTGCACTCAAACCCCTGTAAATTGCACTCAAACCCCTGTAAATTGCACTCAAACCCCTGTAAATTGCACTCAAACCCCTGTAAATTGCAATAAATCCCACTGAAACCCCTGTAAATTGCACTCAAACCCCCGTAAATTGCACTCAAACCCCTGTAAATTGCACTCAAACCCCTGTAAATTGCATTAAAACCCCTGTAAATTGCAAGAATTCCCCCAATTCCCAACTCACCCTCCACCACCCTCAACCTGACATCGCTCCCAAGCCGGAACCCTCCGGCATTGCTGAGGAGACACCGGTAAATTCCTTCATCTTCCACTCCAATCTTGCCAATCTGCAGCGTTCCCGAGGGCAGCAGGAGCAGCCGGGAATTCCCAGAGGGAAATTCGGGAATTCCCAAAAGGTTTTCCCGGTTTTTTTGCCATTGGATGTCGATGGGGGGGTCTCCTTGGAAAGGACAAGGGAGGAGGGCGGGATGGCCTCGGATGGCGCTGATGGAGGAAGGGGGGGAGAGGAAGCGAGGAGGGGCTGGAAAAAGAAGGAGAAAAAAATGGGAATAAAGAATTAAATTTATTTAAATTTTTAATTTTTTTGTCTATTTTTTATTAAATAATTTACAGTAATAAATTGGAATTTTTTTCTTAATTTTTTTCTTGATTTTTTAAAAAAATATTGGATTTTTTTCTTGATTTTTCTTGATTTTTTTAAAAATATTGGATTTTTTTCTTGATTTTTTTTAAAAATATTGGAATTTTTTCTTGATTTTTTTAAAAAATTATTGGATTTTTTCTTGATTTTTTTAAAAAATATTGGATTTTTTCTTGATTTTTTTCTTGATTTCTTAAAGAAATATTGGATTTTTTTCTTGATTTTTTCTTGATTTTTTTAAAAAATATTGGATTTTTTTCTTGATTTTTTAAAAAAATATTGGATTTTTTTCTTGATTTTTTTAAAAAATTATTGGATTTTTTTCTTGATTTTTTTAAAAAAATATTGGATTTTATTCTTGATTTTTTTCTTGATTTTTAAAAAAAAAATTGGATTTTTTTCTTGATTTTTTTTCTTGATTTTTTTAAAAAATATTGAATTTTTTTCTTGATTTTTTTAAAAATATTGGAATATTTCTTGATTTTTTAAAAATATTGGATTTTCTTGATTTTTCTTGATTTCTTAAAGAAATATTGGATTTATCTTGATTTTGTCTTGATTATTTAGAAAAATATTGGAATTTTTTTCTTGATTTTTTAAAATAATAATTGGATTTTTTTCTTGATTTTTTTCTTGATTTTTTTAAAAAATATTGGATTTTTTTCTTGATTTTTCTTGATTTTTTTTTTAAAAATATCGAATTTTTTTCTTGATTTTTTCCTTTATTTTTGTGGTTTTTTTGGAATATTTTGGAGGTGTAAATTGAATTTTTTTCTTGATTTTTTGGGATATTTTGGAATATTTTGGAGGTCTTAATTGGATTTTTTTTCCTGATTTTTCCCTAATTTTATAATTTTTTTGCAATATTTTAGAGTAATAAATTGGAATTTTTCTTGATTTTTTTCTTTATTTTTCTTTATTTTTTAAAAAAAATTGGATTTTTTTTCTTTATTTTTTAAGGTTTTTTCTTTATTTTTTGGGATATTTTGGAGCCATAAATTGGATTTTTTTTCTTGATTTTTTCTTTATTTTTATTAAATAATTTAGAGTCTTAAATTGGATTTTTTATCCTTTTTTTTTTCTATATTTTTATAATTTTTTGAAGTATTTTAGAACCATAAATTGGATTTTTTTCTTTATTTTTTGGAATATTTTAGAGGTATAAATTGAATTTTTTTCTTTATTTTTTTCCAATTTTTAAAGCCATAAATTGGATTTTTTTTCTTGATTTTTTTACATTTTTTCTTTATTTTAATTAAATATTTTAGAGCCATAAATTGGATTTTTTTTCTTTATTTTTTCCTTTATTTTTTTAAAATAATTTAGAATATTTTAGAACCATAAATTGGATTTTTTTTCTATATTTTTTGGGATATTTTGGAGCCATAAATTGGAATTTTTTCTTGATTTTTATGGGATATTTTGGAGGAAGGGGGGGAGAGGAAGCGAGGAGGGGCTGGAAAAAGAAGGAGAAAAAATGGGAATTAAAATTAAATTTCTTTATTTAATTAAGTTTTTTAAATTATTTTATTAAATTTTTTTTATTTATTTTTATTAAATAATTTACAGACGGAAATTGGAATTTTTTTCTTGATTTTTTTAAGGTTTTTTCTTTATTTTTTGGGATATTTTGGAGGTGCAAATTGGATTTTTTTCTTGATTTTTTGGGATATTTTGGAGGTGTAAATTGAATTTTTTCTTTATTTTTTTAAAATTTTTTTTCTTTATTTTATTAAATAATTTAGAGTAATAAATTGGATTTTTTTTCTTGATTTTTTTACGGTTTTTTCTTTATTTTTTGGGATATTTTGGAGGTGTAAATTGGATTTTTTTTCTTTATTTTTATAATTTTTTTGGAAATATTTTAGAGTAATAAATTGAATTTTTTCTTGATTTTTTTACAATTTTTTTCTTTATTTTTAAAATTTTTTTTCGTTATTTTATTAAATAATTTACAGACGTAAATTGGATTTTTTTTCCTTTATTTTTTCTTTTTTTTTCTATTTTTTTGGATATTTTGGAGGTGTAAATTGGAATTTTTCTTGATTTTTTTCTTTAATTTAAAAAAAAATATTGGATTTTTTTCTTTATTTTTTTACGTTTTTTCTTTATTTTTATTAAATAATTTACAGGCGTAAATTGGATTTTTTTTTCTTGATTTTATGGGATATTTTTGGAGGTGTAAATTGAATTTTTTTCTTGATTTTATGGGATATTTTGGAGCTGTAAATTGCATTTTTTCCTGATTTTTTGGGATAATTTACAGGCGTAAATTGGAATTTTTTGCTTGATTTTTTGGGATAATTTACAGACGTAAATTGGAAATTTTTTTCTTGATTTTTTGGGATATTTTAGAGGTGTAAATCGGATTTTTTTTCTTGATTTTTTGGGATATTTTGGAGGTGTAAATTGAATTTTTTTCTTGATTTTATGGGATTTTTTGGAGGTGTAAATTGAATTTTTTTTTAATGTTTTAGAGCCATAAATTGGATTTTTTTCTTGATTTTTTCTTGATTTTTTTTAAAAAATATTGGATTTTTTTCTTGATTTTTTAAAAAAATATTGGATTTTTTTCTTGATTTTTTTCTTGATTTTTTTTTAAAAAATATCGAATTTTTTTCTTGATTTTTTCCTTTATTTTTGTGGTTTTTTTGGAATATTTTGGAGGTGTAAATTGAATTTTTTTCTTGATTTTTTGGGATATTTTGGAATATTTTGGAGGTCTTAATTGGATTTTTTTTCCTGATTTTTCCCTAATTTTATAATTTTTTTGCAATATTTTAGAGTAATAAATTGGAATTTTTCTTGATTTTTTCTTTATTTTTCTTTATTTTTTAAAAAAAATTGGATTTTTTTTCTTTATTTTTTAAGGTTTTTTCTTTATTTTTTGGGATATTTTGGAGCCATAAATTGGATTTTTTTTCTTGATTTTTTCTTTATTTTTATTAAATAATTTAGAGTCTTAAATTGGATTTTTTATCCTTTTTTTTTTCTATATTTTTATAATTTTTTGAAGTATTTTAGAACCATAAATTGGATTTTTTTCTTTATTTTTTGGAATATTTTAGAGCCATAAATTGAATTTTTTCCTTTATTTTTTCCAATTTTTTAAAGCCATAAATTGGATTTTTTTTCTTGATTTTTTTACATTTTTTCTTTATTTTAATTAAATATTTTAGAGCCATAAATTGGATTTTTTTTCTTTATTTTTTCCTTTATTTTTTTAAAATAATTTAGAATATTTTAGAACCATAAATTGAATTTTTTTCTTGATTTTTTGGGATATTTTGGAGGTGTAAATTGGATTTTTTTCTTGATTTTTATGGGATATTTTGGAGGAAGGGGGGGAGAGGAAGCGAGGAGGGGCTGGAAAAGAAGGAGAAAAAAATGGGAATAAAGATTAAATTTCTTTATTTAATTAAATTTTTTTTATTTATTTTATTAAAATTTTTTATTTATTTTATTAAATAATTTAGAGGCATAAATTGGAATTTTTTTCTTGATTTTTTGGGATATTTTGGAGGTGTAAATTGAATTTTTTTCTTGATTTTTTGGGATATTTTGGAGGTGTAAATTGAATTTTTTCTTCATTTTTTTAATTTTTTTTTATTTATTTTATTAAATAATTTAGGGACGTAAATTGGAAATTTTTTTTCCTTTATTTTTTCTTTTTTTTTCTATTTTTTTGGATATTTTGGAGGTGTAAATTGAATTTTTTTCTTGATTTTTTGGGATATTTTTGGAGGTGTAAATTGAATTTTTTGCTTGATTTTTTAGGATAATTTACAGGCGTAAATTGGATTTTTTGCTTGATTTTTTGGGATAATTTACAGGCGTAAATTGGGATTTTTTTGCTTGATTTTTTGGGATATTTTAGAGGTGTAAATTGCATTTTTTTCTTGATTTTTTGGGATATTTTAGAGGTGTAAATTGCATTTTTTTTTTATTTTTTGGGGATAATTTACAGGCGTAAATTGGATTTTTTTTTGCTTGATTTTTTTGGATATTTTAGAGGTGTAAATGGAATTTTTTTCTTTATTTTTTGGGATTTTTTGGAACCATAAATTGGATTTTTTTCCTTATTTTTTTTTCTATATTTTTATAATTTTTTTTAGAATATTTTGGAACCATAAATTGGATTTTTTTCCTTTATTTTTATAAATTTTTTGGAAATATTTTAGAGCCATAAATTGGATTTTTTTCTTTATTTTTTCTATATTTTTATATATTTTTTAAAATATTTTAGAGTAATAAATTGGATTTTTTTCTTTATTTTTTCTTTATTTTATTAAATAATTTAGAGTAATAAATTGGATTTTTTTCTTTATTTTTTCCCTAATTTTTATATATATTTTTTTTTAATATTTTGGAGGTGTAAATTGGATTTTTTTCTTTATTTTATTAAATAATTTAGAGGTGTAAATTGGATTTTTTTTCCTTCATTTTTTTACATTTTTTCTTTATTTTTTGGGATATTTTAGAGCCATAAATTGGAATTTTTTTCCTTTATTTTTTTCAATATTTTAGAGTAATAAATTGGATTTTTTTCTTTATTTTTTCCTTTATTTCTATAAATTTTTTTTTTATATTTCAGAACCATAAATTGGAATTTTTTCCTTTATTTTTTCAACATTTTAGAGCCATAAATTGGATTTTTTCTTTATTTTTTCTTTATTTTTTGGAATATTTTAGAACCATAAATTGGATTTTTTTTCCTTATTTTTTTCCTTATTTTTATAATTTTTTTTAATATTTTAGAACCATAAATTGGAATTTTTTCTTTATTTTTTCCTTTATTTTTTTAAAATAATTTAGAATATTTTAGAACCATAAATTGGAATTTTTTTCTTTATTTTTTTAATATTTTAGAGCCATAAATTGGAATTTTTTCTTTATTTTTATGGGATATTTTGGAGGAAGGGGGGGAGAGGAAGCGAGGAGGGGCTGGAAAAAGAAGGAGAA